TTTTTTTTTTTTTTTTTGTAATAGGATCAACAGGATCTTGTCAAATTGCCCAGGCTGGTCTTGAACTTGCCATCTTCCTGCATCAGCTTCCCAGAGCTCTGGTAATAGAGGCATGTGCAACCACACCTGCCTTTGAATAAGTCTTGAATCTTATTTTTCTCCCCAGGGCTGGTGACTGAAACCTGGGCCTTGCACATGTAGGCCATTGTTCTGCTAAGCTATAGTGCCAGCCCAAGAATCGTGAGTCATTATCTTGAGCGCCAGCATCCCACCAGGTTCCATCCCAGTATATCCAGCTGCCTACTTTGAGCATCTCCAAACACCCTTCCAACACTGAACTCTGCTCTTGGCCCAAGCCTAGCCATAAAGTCACACCCACAGGTGCCACGTTCAACAACCTGCTGCCCCTCACCCACTCACCCATTCCGGGCCCTGGGGCTCAGCCTTCTCAGCATCTTTCAAATACTGCCATGTGGTTCCATTTCATCACTCCTTCCTTGCTTGGGACCAACATCTTGCCTTTGGAGACTGCCAGGCCCGTTCCTTCCTCTAACCACATCCATTCCAAACTCTTTACAAAGCTGGCCCAGTGATATTTTGATCTAAGATCATCACCCCCTGCTCAGTGGCTTCCTGTTGTCTCAGGATCAAGGCAAACCCTCCTAGCCCTCTAGCCCTGCCAACCTCTGTAACCGTATCTCTCCAACAGGGATCCAGGCTCTTCCTCCTCAGCCTTGCCAACTGCTGCTACCTCTGTGCAGAAACCTCCTCTCCTTTTTACTCAGCTTCTCTTTTCCCTCTCTCCTGTCTGGTCTCAGCAGGATGCTCCCTCCAGGAGAACCTTCCTCATTACCACCCCACTCTTGGTACCTCCCATCACAGCACTCACACTCCTCACAAACACCTGGAAAGCCTAAATATGTGAACAAACATGGTCCCTGGGAGAACAGGGACCTCTATTTTGTCCCTCCCTGTCCCTTTCAGCCGTTATTCATTGGAGATCATCCTCCCTGCCCCTGGGTCAGACCCAGGTGGATCCTTCAGCATTTGGGCTTGCATAACAGGGCATCAGTCTACAGTCACTTTTCTTGTAAATACAGCCTCAGTCTGTGGTGTTGTGGGGTGGCTTCAGCTGCTCAGGCCAGGCAGATGGTTGGTGGGGCCCATGCAGGAATGTCTGTGGGCTTTGTGGAGACTCCCTACTGGACCTTCTGCAGTTTCCACAGCCCAGGCAATGTAGTATCTTCCGGAGGCCCCTGGGGGTACCTCTTCCCTTGCCCATAACCATCTGTGGGCCCAACCCCGGCCTCTTCCTGCCAAGGCCTTCTCTGCCTGCCCTCCTGGCCCTTCAGAAACATTCAGAGCCATTCCCCAGCCACTCTGGGCAGGGGCTACGCATGACGGCAGCACATTTTGCAGCCTTCACCAGAGCAGCAGGCTCGGCTCCCAAGTTTCCTAGGCCAGAGTCAGACCACAGTCACCCTTCACTTGTTTGCTGAGCCTAGCAAGGCCCACTTCTCCATGTCTCGGACATCTCGAAACTGGAAGCCCCTTGAATCCTCCTTAGCAGGCCCCCCTCAGGAAGGTCTCCCTTAGGAGGCTCACCTCCAAAGAAGGTGCCAGGGTTCCACCCACAGCACAGTGACAGCTCGCTCCAAAGAAAACTGCTCACAGGTTCCTTCACCCCTTCCTTGCTCTCTCAGATGCCATTTTACCTCTTCACGTAACTGAGGGGTCGGTGTGTCTGGTAACATTTTCTTGACTGTGGTTTGGTACTCTGAAATGCTTGATCTTGGTCCTTTGGTCAAAACCAGAGCAGGGAGGGGCCACTCTAATCTCCTGTGATGCCTACTTAGTTGCCAGACCAAAGGTCTCAGTCAGCAGGGTAGTGGACCATGGTTAGCTCTTCTCTAAAGAGCAGCAGAGCTTGAATCAGTGGTGCCCCTGGTGAGGTAAGCGGAGTGCTGTTCTGTGAAACTATTGTTTCCGATGTATATGGAGCCTGGGAGAGTGCCTGTGTGTGTAACCCATGAGTGACAGCAGATGTCTCTCTGACTAGAAATCCCAGTGAACAGAACTGAGACACAAAGAAGGGGTCTACATCCATTCCTTACCATTGCATCCTGGGAGCTTGCTCAATGGCTGGCACATGTAGGAACTCAGTAACTGTGGGGTGTGAGAAAGCAGGCGGGTCCAGGGCTGTGAGCCCCTGCCCTGTAAGGCAGTGAGTGGATTAGGTCTCCCCTTTCACAGGCTCCAGGAACACTGATGCCCCCTTGGGCTGGGATTACTGCTCTGGAAGTCTGGGGTTCCCAGCCCTTGGTCTTTCCCAGCTACCTGTTGGGCCTTCATCTGCCCTGGGACATGGGTGGGCTCACCTGGAGGCGGGGCTGAGTGGGGCCAGGACCAGGGCTGTGCTCACTGCAGTGCTGCAGCTGTCATCGGGCCACGCTGATGTGAGGCTGGGGTCTAGGCAGCCGGTGGCTCTGTGAGTGACAGATGCCAGCTCCTGTGTCAGAGGGAAGGCACGCAGCCCTTGGCAGGAAAAGAGATGCTCCTGGACAAATGTCAGCTCTCACCCTGGGGCCACGGCGTTGGCAGCTCCCCTGCCCTGTGCCAGCCGCTCCTCCGCCATCAGTCCTGACAGCCATGAGACTCTATGCCCAGGAGACTGGGAGGGTCAGGGAGACAGAGGCCCAGGCCCTCCACAGGCAGGCAGCAGCATGGCAGCAGACCCCAATGGGCTTGAGGAGGTCCTACAGACTGGGATCTCCTGGCCCTGCTGCCAGAATCTTCTATGCAGGATGTGGAGCCTCTGTACCTTCCTGTGTCAGTCTCGAGGGCAAAAGCCAGGTTAGACCTATCGGTTCACACCTGTGACCCAGCCCTTACTCAGACAAAATATTAGGTATGTTTACAGAGGAAGCAGACCAGGACCCATCAATCCCCTCTCTGCTGGGTCCTCCTGGATCCTCCTCTCCATTTAAAACCTGTCCTGTCCTCTGAGGTCCTCTGCCCCTTTTCTCCACAGCAGCCCCACCTTCCACTGTGTACTCTGGAAGGAGGCCAGATGCAGAGCCAGTTGAGATCCTCACGCAGATGGGAAAACACACATGGATTCACACATGTACTCACATGCACACACAGACAGAGCTGATAACGAGAGTTGGTGCTGGGGAGGGGGGTGGGGGCTAAGGGCAACGTCTGAAATCCCAGGAACAAACCTCAGGCCTCCTGCCCTGAACCCTCTTGGACTAGAGGCCTCAGGACATTCCCAGGGACAGAGGCAAACAGACAGGCCAGAGGACTATCAGACAGGGGTGGTAAAGCGTTTTGTTCAGAAATGACATTCAAAGGCACCAGCCACCAAACTCCTCTATCTGGGATACTTCAGAGGGACCATGGAGCCCTCTTTTGGGTATCTCAAACTGGTCTGAGTGACAGAGGTCAGGCCACGCCAGGCTGAGCCCAGCACATGGAATGACCACCCCGACAAGCAGTTCCTCCCATGCCAGCTCACGAAGCTGACATCCCCGGGCAGCTGCCAGGCACCTGCTGCTGGAGAGAAAAGCCTCATCATTCCAGCCTTTGTGGAGAGACTGAGTGGCTCGGGTTCCAGAAAGGCGTGTAAGGTCACACCAGAACCCCTTCCCTGGATGTTTGGATGTAGGCTGACCAGCCACAGAATGTCCTGTCATCCTGCCTGCCCTGCCCTGCGCCTGCCTCTCTGTGAGACACAGCACTAAGGAATGTGCTGGGATGTTAAGTGTGTCTAGCAAAAGGCTGAGGTTGCTACCAAGATTTTTCTTTGGAATTGACTTACTTTGGGGACCCTCTGTCTGCCACTCACCCTTCCAGGGGCACCCCTCTTTCCTGGAAAGGCCAGACCAGGCCGCTTCTGTGTGCAAGTCTGTGGGAGTTGCTTCAGGTGGTGAAGGTTGGGGCAGGCTAACCTGAGGAAAGGCCAGTTTACAAACCAGAGGTAACTGGGCCTCCTATATCCTGTATCAATCCATCACATTTATAGCCCTCACTCCAGACAGGAGACAACAAGGAAATGACAAGAGCCAATAAGGCCAATAAATAAGGGGTAATGGAGTAACATGTATATGCAGCCCATTCCTGAGCCCAGAGCCAGGATCAGGGCCAAGCTATTCCTCCCTCCACCTGTCTTAGGTTCACCTACAGGCCCAAGGAGACAACTAAAACCACTCAACAGCACGGGGTTGCATGCGTGTGTGTGTGTGTGTGTGTGTGTGTGTGTGTGTGTGTGTGTGGGGGTGCGCAGCTGCATTCGAGG